ATATATCATGTACAGTACATGTATTATACTGGTACATGTATGGCCTTTTTTTTTTTCACATACATGTACCAAACCGCCATATGTACCAACCTGTACCCACTGTTCGAACAATGTAAACAACAGCTAACAATGTTTCTGTGCATGTAGATGTACCGGTACTTTACATGTATTATGGTATGAGGCTGCTGTACCATACATTTACATGTACACATGAACCATGAGGTAGAAGCATTCTGAGAACAATAGGAGAGGTACATATACAAAGCAAGACACTCATGGTACTACCCGGTAGTACATGTAGACATGCACTGGTACATGTACATGGACCTGTTAAAATTGTACATGTACTGTACGTGTATATTATCTACATACATAGTACATGTACCTGTGTATTCTTGTGCTCTTTATTTACATGTAAGCCTAGCTGGCCAGATGTGAACTTGCCGTTCCGCTCGAATGCAATGACATAAATTTTACTTGTCAAAATGTGGAAATAAACTGGAAAATACAGGAATTTCTTGGCCTGTTATGTACTAAATGATGGCATTCAATCCTGAAAATGAAGCTTCATATCATAGAATAGAATAGATGCATGAACATGTACATGTACACATACTGTATACATGTACATGTATGTACATGAAGCTAGACCATTTGTCAATTTGACCTGTTCTCCAAACTGGTCCATAATTCCTTTCTCCCAGTGGTGGTACATGTAAGTGTATCACAGGTTTTGTCACATTATTTATTAGATCAGCATGCATATACCTGTATACAGTGCATGGGTGTCTGCATACCAAAGGCATTAGAAGTCTTTGTCTCCTCCAATACTGCCCTCGTGGGTATACCACCCACATGCATGACATGAAGAATATATGCAATACTGTGGTTTGCCACGAATGGTTACAGAGTAGCATGGGTCATATACATGTAGAGGCCGGTGGTTGTTTCATACATTTGTATACAAACAAGATCAAAAGATGTGAAAATTGGCAGCTTGATGGAGTCTCTTCATTACAAGTCATGCATTCAATTTTTTTTTTATAACCCTCACGAAAAGCAGCTGAGGAAATACATGTAAGTTGTAACTCTGTGTATCATTTTGCTTGAATTATGCCTGAATAAAGGCAAAGCATTGATGGGGGGGGGTTGGAAGTTGTTGAAATACAAGACATACATGTACATGTACATGTACAGGTAGATATCCAAGGAAAGTTTCGGAAAAATCAAATCTTCACACAATTTTTTTTGACGCGGTAAGTGTACTATGAGACATTGTTTTGCGTAGTGCAACCTTGTCAGCTTGCGATTTATTGCCAATGTACCGGTACATGACCAAAAGTACCAAAACAGTGTGGAAGTTGTGTACATGTTCATGTACATGTACAGTACTACATGTACTCATGATACGCTTGTGCACATTGTAGCTAGCACAGTGTTTCTGTTAAGAATGCATGTTCTAGTAGTAGAGGCCCACAGGGTACAGGCTACAGGTATACATGTACATTTAACATGTGACCCGCTCTGTAAAAACGGGTATTAACTCGCGCAGTGCCAAAACATGTAATAGCCTGTTCTATTTGGAGAGGGCAAAATTTCTTCAGAAACGTGATTTTGTGTTTTTTTTTCTTTAATAGCTTCTATGATATTTACGGTATCTTTACAGAATTTGTGACTACAACCATGGATACTGATGAATAAAAAAGTGCTTTTATTGAATCCGAAAATGTGCCGGAATGCAGCGCACTACGGGAGTCATTCATATATCAAGTTGTAGCTTTTGATGTACAGAATCCAGCCATATCAAAAACTCATAACTTGAATCTGGCGACTGATATTACTACTCATTTTTCTAGAGCTGGTCACATATACATGTATGTACTGTACAGGGCAGGAATTTCGTTCTTGAAGAGGCAAGGCAATTTCTCATTTGTAAATGGCACTTGTATTAGAAAATCAACTTGTCTATGGGGACATTTGGGCAAAGACCAGGGCCACCCATGGAGGAAGGAAGACATGGGCCACCAAGGCAATCGCCCCTGATGCCTCCATGTCTGTACATGTACATGTACGGTACATGTACATGTATATTCCCACGATGATTTCTCTAAAAATGAATCAACTGATTACCTGGAATTTGTGTAGACTACAGTGTGTTTCACTTTCAGTACTTATTCTTTCAGTTTCACAGCATACATGTACTAGTATTGCAAGTTGGTTCGAGCACATGGTTGATGGGCATGCTTGTACACGTACATGTACCGGTGCATTGATGCACGTTGTTCTTTACGTGTGTCAAATATACATGTAAATGACCAATAAGGTAGATTTCATAGCCAATAACTGCAAAACTGAATCAGAAAAATAAAGGTGCATGATTAAGTAATACATTTATATTCATTAAATTGATTTTCTCCTTTATTAGCCTATAATTAATCATGCACAATTTGTATTGTTATTTGGCTCAAACATTGCAATTAAAGTCTGCAGATGTCACAACTTTGCACCGGCTTGCCAGGGATACTGTAATCGAAATGGTCCAGATAACTTTGACCTCATTTACATGTACATGTACCGGTAGGCCACACAAAGGCTTCCCGCATAAAACTTAAAGCACATATTGTACATGTACACTGTATTGTGTATCACAGATGCGGAGTGTGTATCACGGGGTATGTTCCCAGGTGTAAGAAATGTGCAAGGTGTTCACATGGCCTGTGACACCATGCACGTGTTTGCGCCCAGCTACATGTACCGTGTACCAGTACATGCACACATACTGGTCTGGTTACATTTTTCACAAGGTTTTGCAACCTTATATCTTTAGTTAGTTTTTTTCAATCTATATGCACAAACCCTTACTCCCGTACAGCATTTTTGGCATGAAAATTCCACAGTGTACTGGTACCTTTTCATTAGGCCTGACAACAAAATTTTCTGTTTGTTGTATGTACAGTACATGTACATGTGTACATGTAACATCCTATTGATGTACATGTACACACTGGTAGCTACATATACATGTACATTGTACATGTATGAAAAACAAGGGCATTCATTAGGCTGGTACTTGTACCCCCATACATGTACATGTACATACCGGTATATGTACACATGTAGGCCTACATGTACATACGGGTATATTTTCACAAACGACGGTGTGTGGAACTGAACATGCGTACATACATGTATGTTTGCACTGCAAAGTTGCAAAATTTGGACATGTATGGTTTGACTCTTGGGAATTTTTCTGCAAATGCTTCAATACCGGTACATGTATTGTCACATTAACACTGTGTGTTAATAATTCATGTAGCTGTATGTTTATTTATTTTTAATGTGAGGCCGACCTTGCCTACACGTACATTTATGCCATTTGAGATATGCTGCAAAATATTACGCTCCTAAACAAAGGGACCTGCATGTACTTCCAATCCCACAGGGATCGTCCTTCCACAGATGACCATCCCACAGCTGATAGCACAGTGTAAGCTTTCCATTCTGTAGGGATACAGGTAGTGGACACCCATGTGGCCATAATCAACATGCCCTGTCCATGATCTCATTATGCATTGTCCACTCCCCAGCCCAGCCTTATCTACATGTACATGTACCTCCAAGTTGTGATGATTCACTCCCCATGGTCATCTTGCAATCAGTAGGATTTTATCGGTCTTCCATGACTAGACATCAGCACATTAGAAATACCCATTGTCTGTATTTTCTGTGTATTATTCTGTTGATTATTATCGAGAGGCCTTTAAGCCTATCCACTGATACTGGTGGGTTTGCAATAAATAGTCAAATTGGTGGGCTTAGGGTTGAGTTCAAGTTGAGTCACAAGGCTTACATGTACATGTAAGTCACTGCTCCCGCATGCACAGTCAATTATGAAATCATAATTATTTTATTTGCATGGTTATTTCTCAGTTGTTCACAAAGACAATCAGCCACTGGTTAATGTGCAAGTTCTTATTGCACATAATATATCGGGTCACATAGGAAACCTTGCTACCACGTGTGGGTATCAAGCCTGAATTGCATTTTGAAATTCAAGCTTTGGATTTGGTGTTTTAACCCTAACAGTTCTGCATAAAATTTGGCATGCAGTACTCAGTACTACAAAACACTAAGCAGTAGTCTGAGCATGAAGGACCTAGCGCTACAAATTACTACTTCTGGCTAGGGCACCCTCCATTGTTACTCTACAGAGAACAATAAAGTCGCGCATTCATACATGTAGTGCCACAGCACTGTATGGTAGATTGTCTTATATATTGTATTTTATGGCTTCAGAGAACAAAAAAGATCATGTCCTCTTACAAGCGCGAGCACTGAATACTACATTTTACTACTAAGTAGTACTTTGTAGTATTCAGGGCCGTTAGGATTAAGTGAAAAATCTAATAAATCTCATATAGGATTAAAGTTCTGGCTGGTCGGGTATGGTACATGTGTATAACATGTATGTCCTGAAAAGACTAGAAATCTGAAAGAGGTATACATGCGCATATGCATGTATGCATTGGTCATTTTATGATGGCCATGAGGCTGCGTACCAGCATGTTAAATTGCTGGGTGTTTTGGACCGTTCTTTGTTGAGATTGAATTGGAAATTTCGACACCAATAATGCTGCGGTTAATGAAGCATGCATATTTACATATTAAATAAAGCAAACATGTGTACATGTATGTGTGTACATGTAGTGTTTATTTTGCTTACGAGCATAAAGGCGCTTGTGTGTAATCGATGGTTTGCTGTAAATAATGAGAGAGAAACTTGCCTTTCATTGTACATGTAGACTTGTCCCACTGGCATGGTTTGTGTAAATCCACGTGTGTTGATTCCCTGAATGAAACTGTTACATGTACATGTATGTTTCTGTATTATTTGTACCATGATGCCAGTGGAAAAGGTTGGCCTGACTTCTTGTGTTCCATCATCAGTAATTACTTTTCCTTTTTTTCCCTCCTTTCTTTCTCCGTTTTTTATCATGCAGGCACAAATGAAGTTTCCACACGACTATCCGTATTCACCTCCAACCTTCAAGTTCCTCTCAAAAATGTGGCATCCCAACATATATGATGTAAGTACACACCTAACGCCCATCAGGTGTAGCCCCTGCTGTTATTGTCTCCCTTGAGAAAAGCACGCAGATGATTGAAATGTTGTTTTTGTCATTTTCCCCCTTTTTTCTGTTGTATTTTTATTCCTAACAGCCAAGCATGTCATTTGGCTCACAGGACTCAGTACTTGACAAAATACCGTACTGCGTAGTAGTCTGAGCCTGAAGGACCTAGTGCTACCGTACAAATTACTACTTCTGGTTAGGGCACTTCAATTGTTACTTGTACAGAGAACAATAAAGTCATGCAATCATAGTGCCAGAGCACTGTATGGTACATTGTCTTGTCTATTGTATTTTACATGTGGTTTCAGAGAACAATAAGGTCATGTCCTCCTACAAGCAACAGTGCTGTATACTACTCCCTACATTTTACTACTAAGTAGTAATTTTTAGTATGACGTACTGTTAGGGTTAATGAGCTGTTATTATGATGTATATTATGTCAGCCACTAGCAATTACTGTGCACAGGGGCATTAATTAAGGAACACATACCGGCGCAGGGCCTGATTGAAAGACGTCAGAATACCATGTAACCACATGGTTTCCCTTACTTTGGCCTCAGTTGATGTGAGCATTTGTTCGCAACTGTACATTGTACATGTACATTGGACGTACATGTACCAGTACACCGGACAGTGACGCTTATTTTCATGTCAAAAAACCTTGATTCTAGTATCAAATTATTGCCAAATGGTCACCACTTTCGCCATACTTGGTTGTCGTTATCATGCTGAATCATCTCTGTGTTTTTTTCTCGTACATGTACACATTACATGTACATGTACCGGTATGTTGTGCCATTTATAAAGCTTTGAAGGCTTGCCCCCTACATGTACATGTACCTAAATACTGTGCGCGGCATCATGGGCTTTGCCTGCGCCAATGGTGGAGACATGTTGGGCCATGTACCGGTAGGACAGCGAGAGCATTCTATAGAATGGCCTACGCAGTACATGTACATGTAAATGTAAGCGCTGTTTTTATACATGTGCCTGTAATCTGTATGTGTTCATTGTATGCACGGTACATTCATACTAAGAACAGTGCATATACATGTACATGTTCATGTTGTAGCTTAGTGACAACGGCTGCAATAATTGTCACTTCGTGACTTCAGAATACTCGTTGCCCGCTTAGAATTCTAAGACAAGTTTAACCGTGTACATGCACATGTATGTGAATGCTAGAATGACAAGTTTTCTTCTTGTACACGTGTGCACGTTATAATGCATTTTACTAGGATTATTTGTTAAGATGGGGTCGGGACAATAAATTGTCAAATTTCAACCTATCTCGCCACAATTTTGCCCCTTAGATTTGAAGAAGTAATATTTGCAATGACTTGTATTTAATAAGACTCTATAAAATTCTGTAATTAATTAATTAATTTGTAAAACTGTATGTGAAATTTGAGGCTCGCTTTGGGGTGAATACCTTTACAAATGCTCCAAAGAAAGAGATACTGTTTATATCCAAGTTTTGGAATATGTTTTTATATAAATCATATGTACCAATAACTTTACCGATTCACTTTTAAATGCCAATCAGATCACACTTATTTATTTATTTACTTATCTGCTCATGGAGTCTTACTGTAGTAGGCCCTTGTGCAATTTTTGCTTTGTGAATGCATTTACCCGGTACAAAGCTGTTTAAACCTCGATGTGTGAGCTAGCCAATTCAGGCTAGTTGAGATGGAGCCAAGTTTGTCATCCCTCAGGAAGGATAACGTAATTCTGTAACATGATGAGTGCACTGTGATGACATGGTGCCCTGGTCCCGGGGCTATAATTCATGTGCATGTACGGGGTATTTGTGCACATGTCTGTACGATGATTGTTAAACAGTGAGTGTGGACAATTCAGTGCAGATAGGAAGCATCAGCATTAGGAAGCATTATAGGAAAGGAGCACTGACAGGGACGATTTTTCGGAAATTGTGTGCATTCCAAGCAAAGTGCCATCAGTAACAAGACATTGCTTGTATGCATATGGAGTGTTATCAGCCTTTGTTGTGTATTCTGTTTCCAACACAGTGAGTTATTGTGCTGTCAACCTGTGAATATTCTGTTTCCCCCCCCCTCTTTTCAACCCGTGCTTAATCTCATGTGTTTCCTTCCTGGTCAACAGCAGACTGGTGACGTATGCATATCAATCCTACACCCGCCGGTGGATGACCCACAGAGCGGAGAGCTGCCCTCGGAAAGATGGAACCCCACACAGAGCGTCAGGTAAGGCATTGAGACATGCACTCTAGGATATCTTAATTAAAATAGTGGGAAACTTCAAGAGATTGAGCTGTTGAGTTCAGTTGATTGTGCCAACCCTTGCCATCTTTGCCCGGACTCGAGCAACAGTGCAGTTCACATAACAGATTGGGTGAACATTGTGTAAATAATTAAGCCTCATTCCTAGAAGGTTTTTCCCTTTCCAGAAAACAGTTTTAGTGGCATGTTTGGGTTTGGGTTATTGGGAGCAGAAGGAAGAGAAACAGTCAAGAAAGCCATTGACAAAAATTTAGGTTTAAAAAGTGTGCACAGTACCAGAAAAAAATTGGTATTTTCACGAAGTTTTCCTAACTTCTGGTACAGGATGACATTAGGAATGTTTGCATTGGGTAGGTAACTTAAGCATACCTGTGTTTGCATGTGCAATGATGTGATCAGGTCAAACAAATTAGCTGTCAGTTGCCAAGGCAATGATAGTCCACTAACTATCCCTTAATCATGTTTATGCTTTTTTGGCTGCAGAACAATCCTGCTAAGTGTCATCTCACTCCTGAACGAGCCCAACACATTCTCTCCTGCCAACGTTGATGCCTCCGTCATGTACAGAAAGTGGAAGGAATCCAAGGGAAAAGACTCGGAATACGCCAAGATAATCCAGTGAGTATGATGGGGTGGTGCACATCAACGGACCACGTCCTCAATAACGGCAGCGGTGGTTTATTAAGGGGTCGTAGGTTTGGAGCTGTAACAGCTGAGGGCGCTGTTCTGAGACAGACGACTTTGTATTGAGCTCTGATATCAATTCCAAACTTTAGCAGTGGGAACCAACAAATAAGATTCTGCAGCTTTTAGCCTCATTTTTTTTTCTTAGCAATTTGGTCTCTGCTCAGGGAGTTAGATTGAAGCCTTTTCTCAGTACGTTCAGTATTTGGAGACTCATTAGTCAGAGTCCTTATTGAATGAGTTTTTTAATGAGGGCCATCTCAGATCTAGGTCGTGATTAGTTTAACTTGAGCCTTACCAGTCAGAAAAAGTAATATTCATCAAAGTAAACATTATTCAAACGTACTAATTTTCATAATTTGTCTTCCCTGTTAGGAAGCTTTTCAGGAAAATGTAGAACCAGTAATGTCTGTAAATAACTTCTCTCCTGCGTAGGATTATTGGTGACTTTTTCTTTAATGTAAGTGCTATTAAGTGATTTGTCCAATCCAAGTGAAATTCGAATTTGATTTCTTCCTTGGTAACCTCTTAGAGTGGCTCTTTCAGCCCTGTAATGGGCAGATCCTAGCATTCTTGGAAAAGGGTAAGGTACACGTAGTTGGAAGTTGCAGCCAATTTTTCCCCAAGGTAGGAAAAGCACCTGCTATGATTCACAACAGTGAAGAGGCAGTTGTCCCCTTAACCCAGTTTTCAACTCTTTTGTGACGTCCCCCTCTCCCCTGTAATCAGGAAGCAAGTCCAGAGGACGAAAGCTGATGCGGAAAAGGATGGCGTGGTGGTGCCCACGACCCTGCAGGACTACTGTATCAAGACCAAGACACAGACACCCTCGCACAGCTCCCAGGACCTGACCGACTTCTATGAGGATGACGACTACGACGGAGACTACGACGAGGAAGAGGAGGAGGAGGAGTGTTACTATGATGACGAGGATGACTCAGGAAATGGGGAATCATGATGATGTTACAGGCTGGAAAAGGCCGTGAACTCTTTGTATAAATTACTAGCTTTTGGGAAACTTTATTTTCTTTTTCCTTTTAAATTTTTTTCAATTTTTTTGGAAGGGGGGATGGGGGGGTGGGTGGGATTATTTTTTGTTATGGTGAAACACTCCACTGTTTTGATTACTTGTTCTTGCCTTGCTGTGTTACCTTTAAAGTTTTTGCTTTTCAAACTTTGGAGAGGTTACCTTGAGCAAATTTGGGTGCGCACTAATGATGACTGTTCATAGACAAGACTACCTCAGGTTTTTGTCATGCACTGTCATTCTTTCAGCAGTAGTAGTCTGCAGTTGGGTACCCAACTTTGCTCCTTCGCTGGCATAGGTTGAACAGTGACCGTGTCCTGTTGGGAAGTTGTGACCTTTCGCCGGAGCATGGTGTTAAAGGTCATGTTCGTAAATGTTCCAGATATAACCTCTGTCCAATATTTGATGCGCTACACCTGTGAAGGTCATACACTGAGCAGGACAAGTATCTCCTTGCTGCTGCTGGAGCAAGTTGAACATAATAAGCTTACCCGGTGGATAATTCAGTATTGCACCTGTGCACATCACGGTTGCTGATTTCTGCTGTGGAAAAAAAAAACCGCAGGAATAACCTTGAACAAGTCGATGGGGACCTTAACAAAAGTGTTTGAGCTCCTGAGAATATTTTGTCAATTTCAGTGGCAACCTCTGTTGCTTTGTGCGCATACGATGAATGGGTTATCCTAAAGTTGAAATAGTCCTGTGTGCTGATGAAGTATGATTGTATTTACTGCAGTGCATGGTGGGATAGAATAGGGGTTGTCCTATGTCATAGCAGGAGAAAAACCACCTGTAAGAGTTAATTTGATCAGAAGGCAGTGAAGGTGCAAACTTGCAGTTTCCAGTTGTTCAAGATAACTCTGGGAAATTTATAACAGTGATTGTTTACACACAGCACCTGCCCTTTTGAAACAGAAATAATCGTTTCATATGCTTGGGACAGCAGAGTATACACTGGTGACCCCGCATTCTATCCCACCAATGTAATATGGAAAACACAGTGATACGTCATCAGTACCTAGAGCTGTCGGCAAACTGTTGATGTGTGCATGCGCATCGGGGAAAGTGACCAACCGTCTTCTGACAGTAGTCTGCGGAGTTGATTACAAGTGACCGTTGGGCACCTTTGTTCTTGTATCTAGCAAAAGGAACAGCAAGGCAAGGACAGAAAAGGACAACAGTGGATATTTTCACCATTGTGTTGTTACTTCAGTGGTTCATTCTGTTTGTTTCTTTTTTTTTTGGTGGGAGGGAGGCATGGGAATCTGAAACCGAACTTGTGCTTTTACTGCGAATCAGCAGACGCGATTGAATCAGCACTAATTCAGCACTGTCAACCTGATCTATCCGGAGCTGTGTTCTCTGCAGGATTGCGGACGAATCTATCACCCTGTGGATTGTCACAGAGAAATTTTTAATTAACACCAAGTGTAACCCCTTGGCATTTTTTGTGAGGAATCCTGCAAAATTCAACCTCTTTCTGTAAGCTGTACTGCAGTTTGCATTGTCCTTCAAAAGAACCTGTTAAGTCCCATGTGAACTAACGGCATCTTGCATCACAGAATCTTAAATATGTATTACATATGAGGATGAGGTTGAACATTGGAGGATGGGGTTGGTTAGGGCTGCTAAATGCGGGAAGATCACACAATACAACAGAAAGTGTTGAAGAGGAATCTCGCCAAGTTTGGCGTGAATCTCTGAAACTCGTGTCAATCCCATTTAGAGATCATTACTTAGAATTATAATTCCCCCTAGAGAAAAAAAAACTATGTTGGTCATCAGCTGGGTTTTCTCCCCCCCTACATTTTTTTCTGGTGTGTTTTATTTGTAATATACCTCATCATTGTTAATATTTCTGTTTTCTGCATTTCCTAATTGTTATGAGTTCAGATTCCAGTCAGTATGATTAAAAGAAACACAATAAAAGGAATGGAAGTCATCTTCGACTTTTATCACTGATAGCATCGTTGTGGATACATTTTTGTACTAAACCTTTAAAGATACGGAAAAAAAGTTACTGCTCTAATTATGCAAGCTGAAGCTAATTTCTTCATGCATTATCCTGCATTATGAGAACTGCAAATGAGAATTTTGTTTGAATTTCTTTTTGTGCTTCGTCAAGACAATTTTCAAGAGAGAGATGATTCCCATGCAGGATGATGTGTTCATTGACGTACAGATGTATTCAAATCTCTGTCTTGAATGGACATGTGTTGCCTTTGACATCGTGTACCCATGATGCATTGCATTATTCTGCACCTTTCAGTGGGAAAAGGACCGTTGATTTGTTGCAAGGAGGAGTAAGTTGATTATTTGTGTACAAAATGAAAAAAGGAGTATGGGGTTGTTGGCAGATGTTGGTATGTTGTCAAGTGAACATGGAAACTTAACTTAAAGAACAGGGAGGGGGGTGATAGCTGATGTTCATGTTTTTTGAAGTTTTTATCGTGCAGTTGGTCAGTTTTTATACTGTAGAACATTTGAGTGTTTATGTACTGTTAATGGTGGATGAGAGTGTTGGCAAAACACATTTGGAGCCTGTTTCATCGTCAGAACCGAAATTAATTTTTTCCCCTGAAAGAACATAGAGCAACAAGCTAGGAATGATATTTTTTTGGGTATTTGGGAGTAACATTTGTGACTTTGTTCTGTGCTGTTCTGTAAGTAGGTCCTATCCTGCAAAAAATTGAATAAAAAGTGGATAAATCTCTTATTTCCATCATTTTCATTTTATTAATGTCAAATTGAGCAAGCAAATATTGCACATCCAATACCAATCAGCTCGAAGGCACTAATCTACCAATTGACAGCTCTGAATTATTCATTTAATGTGTAAAACCCTGAAATGTGTGACTACTCACTTAATTTACAATTTTCCCAGCTCTTCAAATTGGCAATGAGTGTCAGCTTGCGATTTTAATGTATGCTTGTAGCTTAACATGTTTCGCTGTCCCAACTGTTTTTGAAACTTTTGGGCATATTTTTCTCGGCAACTTTTTTAACTACAACCAAATGTTTAAAATTCTTTTGGAAAACACACATTCTAGGTTGACATTTTAGTACAAAGCTCTTTGTAACCTTTCCTACTTTTTTGTCTCTGTTGTTACCTAAATTATTTAGCTTTCTACATACATGTACACTACACTGTACAAGTAGTCAGATAGGTACGTGGGACTAGTGATAGAGTCAATAAATGTAAAGCCAAACCAAGTTTTTTGTAAACTGGGTTATTTTGCGTCAAGTTTCCAACTTGTCCGTGATGATTTCTGTTTGTGTTTAAGTTCAAACATAAGCCCATCACTGGAGATTTTGGAGCCAGCCGTCTCTTTGAAATTTATGAGAATGCTGGCTGGGTATGTTAGGTCTGGGGTAGGGGCGTAGCCACGTGGGACTGGCATGTGCCCCCCCCACTAAAAATATGGATGAATGGATATTGAATAAGGCTAACAAAGGGTACAAAACCACACCACTGAAAGCTGGTACCCCCTTTTGCCCCCTCCCCTTATTAAAATCCTTGCTACGCCTCTGGTCTAGGAGAGGTTTTGAGTCATGTTGGCCTGGAAATGGTTATTTTTAAGGAGGCACTCTTATATGGTGGTCGGTCATGTTAGATATTGATCAGGTTCATCAGCTCAATTTCCGGATTCTTGAACTGGAGTCTCCTCCACCTGCCAGTCTCCACTTCAAGAACGTGCAACCACGTGAGACTAGTTGCTGGCACCAAAAAGTGACCACTGGAATGCACATGGTGAGTGAGTAATGGGGTTTCATTATTTGCACTCAATCAGTAATTTTCGAGGACAGGAAGGGACACAAACTCTGCAAAAAGCCAAGTCTGAGATCACTCTCTTTGGGTGGGGGGTTGGCAGTACAAGACAACCTTACACAATATTCTGGCATTGTAAGGCATGGGCATGGTTTCAAAGCTGTGTGTTGGAAGGGAAATTAAACATGACAGAAATTTCTTCTTGATTTTGTGTGAGAACTTTGCCCTGATGTGATTTCAAGCTATTCATGGTGACAGACAACTAAGGTAGAAAGCTTGCAGTAGCACCATGCAAGGATACGATCTCTTTGTGAGTCTGTATGGTTCCCCTGATGACGGACAGAGCATACTGTCCGAAACGTTGAGTTCCTCACAGTTCTTTTCAGAACCATACAGACTCACAAAGAGATCGTATCCTTGCATGGTGCTACCGCAAGCTTTCCACCTTAACTTTGCCCTGCTTCTACAGTTGTTCATTTGTGAACCAGTTGCAGCAGCCATGCCATCAAGTGATCTTCAAGAACAGCTGACTAGATATAGCTTTGACAACTGCCACATACATGTACATGCAAGAGTTACGCTGCTGAGAGTTTTTCCAAAAATTTGGAAGCAAAGAAGAAATTCAGGTCAACAGCCAAACTCCCGAGTGAAGTCTGTTTGTGTGACTGGTACTAAGCTGACTTTTGCACAGTAGACAAATGTACTCAACAGTATTGTCTTCTTGTATCAAGATCTCCAGGAAATTGGATTCAATTTAATCCCCATTCTTGGGCAGCTGCATGTAGGTACATGTACCTGTATCTCTGTGTTGGGGCTTTTGTTTTGATGCAGCTTGACCATATGGTCACCGAGTTGTCCACAGGATAATTTGGTAATTGTGCTGGTATGTGTATCACACATTGAGGGAATAATTTGCAGGGGTTGGTCACGGCAGTAATGCATTGTGTTGCTCACCCCTTCGTTGTGCTGTCTTGGTCCAAGTGTGGGGTCAGTCTCTCTGATTGGTCAGTGGTAACCATAAGGGACAGCTAACCAATTGGAGGTCATATTTCTAAATGATATTGCTCAAGTTCGACCACTGGGGCAGATGTTGGCTGACTTGCTGTCAATTTTCCTAAGTTCATTTTGATCTTCCTTTACAGTCATGGCACCAGGCAAAATAACATTAATCTTTGGACTGATTTGATTACCATGAACATCAGCTCTGACAAAGGTTTGGGCATGGTGAAGCCAATTTTCCAAGGGAACTTGGTTGCACACACTCCCCCATAAACGGCAAATGTGTTGTGTTGGTATGAAGTGACCACAACAACCTACCCATCACTATGCCTCTTTAAAATGCTGATTTTGTTAAACTTAATGGAGGGCATATTAAGTGAATGTTAATTCAACCTGGGCACAGATTTGTGTATGGATCTATTTTTGATTATGTCACATTGGACTGCCTTTTGGAGGGTGTTTCGGGCCACAGTGGGGGATTCTGCTTAGATTCTGCAGTCTAGGCCGAGCAGAATTTGATGACAAAGGCTCGAAATTAATTGGAATTAAATACTATTTAATTAGGTTCCAAGATGGACTATTTTCGGCTGTGGGTGAAACGGGTTGGCTGACATAAATACTAATGCAGATAATCTGAATATACATCAGGCTGGATTCAGGAAAGCAGGGTGCCCTCAAAATTTGCCCAAAACTGTGGCAGTCAAAAGGACAAATAGCCATCACAGTTACTGCTGATCAGACTTAAATATCTTTTCAAAGGAATGAATTTTAAACTTTGGTGGTGATCAGTTTGAAGTGGGTGGAATTATAAGAAAGCTGTGCAAAGATAAACTTCAAATACATTTCAGAATTTTTGGCATGGACAAATAGCCATTGCAGTTACTACTGATCAGACTTAAATATCTTTTTCAAAGTAATACATTTTTAAATTTTGGTGGTGATTAGCTCAAAGTGGGTGGAATTATAAGGAAGCTGTGCAATGATAAAATTCAAATACAAGAAGTTTTGGCAGGGAATATCATGGATTTCTAAACTCGCATGTCGAGTTTAGAAATCGAGTTTAGAAAACCGAGTGGCAACCATGTTGCCACTCAGTTTTCAAAATCTTTAGATCAGGCAGCCACTCTCATTGACCACATTTTGCGGTAGCACCTGTTGTCACCCACACGCACAAAATTAAAGTCCCTAAAGCAAAACTTCCACAGACTTTGTGCTAAGTCATTAACTGCCAAATCATTAATAAGTTGATTGCTGTGATCTACATGTGCATTGCTCACTGTGATCTACAGATAACAAATACATTGACCTTTGCCCCATCCCCAACTTGCAGGTGACTGACAAACTTGGCAAACTGTGTTACTGATCTAATGTACAAACGAGTTTGACACAAGTCCACAGGCAAAACAAAAACCACCTGGCAACTTGTCATCAAGTCTAAACGTCTTGTAAATAATTTCTTTAATCTCTTTAAAGGCTAAAACTAGCACATTCTCTTGGACAGGTTCAAATGAATGGTCTACAATATTACCAGGAATTTGTTTAGAATTTGAAAAAAAAGAAATCTATGTCATGTATTTTCTTTCAAAATTAAAATAACAGTTCTAAAAATGGTGGGACTTGGGGATCAGATGCATTGGTTTTTGTCTTCCTTTAAATTTCATATAAAATGAACATCAAGAATAGGAATCTAATAGGAAAATGAAAACCTCTGTTAACAAATACCTGCAAAACTGTGTGGCTGTTGAGAAGATATACAACCTTTAACTCTTTCAGTAAAACATAAATACTGGCACCAAGTTTTGCCCCAAATTGCACGTTCGCAATACAAATCTATGCAGACCAGATTATCCCGGGTTTGCACAAGTGTCGTTTACCAAAATAAACCTGACGGTCGGTACAGTACTCAAACTACGATGTGCCGAGTACTATACCAAAATTGGCTCTATTTTCAGTGAACACTTATGACAAACTTTGCTTCGGGAGGACGCCATGTTTGTTGATGTTGATACCCACTATAGGTCATGTGACTTAGCAGGCACAATCGGTTCTAGTGGAAAATTTGGAAACAGTATCCTGCAAACGGGACTGAAAATATTCAACAGTTATAAATGATTTTTGATGGGTGGTTTGCTGCTGTGCTTCCACTTATTTGACTTACACGTAACTGGTGAGCTGACCCTGTTAGCTCAGTGGTCAGGTGGTTAAAATGTCTGCACTATGTCATGGGTTTGAGACCCACCTGAGAAATCTTGTGGAATTTTATAAAAAGCCCTTCCTTGGACGGTACTGAGTATACTGACTTTAAATACACAATGGTGAAGGGCAAAATACCCAAAATTCAAAAGGTTATTAATGACACCTCACTTACGAGGAGAACTTTGCGTTTCAAGGAAAACAGTCAACCCTTGGGTGTGCACTCAAGCAAACACTGCCAACATTCACCAAACGTTTTCCAATGAATTTGCAAGAAAAAGATTGCAAGTGCTGGCATCTTGTAACTTAGCCCTCATTCTAGGAAGATGGGTTATATAATGTTAATGTTTGCGATCATTTTCTTCAAATCTAATGGAACATTCTTCCTGAATGAGGGCTCGGTTACGTGGTAATGGGATATACAGGTTTCAGAAAAGTTCCCAGCTAAAAGGAATCGAGCTGCGATTTGTATTACACTTGACCGATGCAGTAGATCACTAAAATGTAATATCCAGAAATGTGCAATGGATCATTAAAAACAAAGGCAACTTGACGGAAATCTTCAGACACCTTATGTAGATTGAAATTGTAACTCATCAATTTTGGGCACNCTGTGTGGTGGTGTACTAGCTAATAAATGCCTTTTCCACTAATCCAAAATAAATTACATAACTTCTATATAGACTTTACTTATCACCACCGTGCATTTATACTCATCTAGATTCTTAAGTTCTTGTTTTAGAAAAAAATTGCTAGGATAAGATCAAGGTATACTTGGATCAAGTAAATTTTTCATGCAATCGATTTGTTTCGGAATGTATGTGGCCTGCAGTGTTAGAAATTCTTTTTAAGAGATTCATATCATTGACAGAATGTAGGTGGCCCAAAGGAGGTCTTGATTTTTTTCCTTTTCTTTCCCAAGGGGACACAAATGAGCAAACATTCTACTGGGCACACACATATACAAAATGCCCCCAAGATGGCCACTGCATGTAAGAATTCCATAGAGGATATGTTGTCATGTGACTGTCAATAGAGTTTGGATGGTAAGCCTGTGTGGGTAGGCTTCCACGGCATTAAGGGGAGGAATTTCTCTTGTAAGGAAGTAAGAACTGATTTGTGGGGACAACAAAATCTGTCCATGTAATGTTTTCGGTCTCCACAATGTCTCCATTGCAACACATGTGCTGTCCCCATAACTGCTGTCCCCACAACCTGGTAATGGGTACATGTATGTGTTTGCATGTATATGCAAGCATGTGCATGTCTAGGATAGTAACACTGCTATCAAGCTTAACGCACACATTGTACAAGTGTGCTATAATGGTAATATCGTAAAACACTGCTCACATGGGCCAGTGACATCATCTACACACCTCCTACACCCTTTTCTTTGCTCCCAGAAGCTTGACTTTTTGGTGGATGGTTGGGCACAGAAAGTTGGGCCACATTTGAAATTTTGTGCTTCCTGTAAAAGCTGTTTGAGTTGCGTAAGCTCATGCACAGATCCATTCAAAATATTGTCTGTACGTTATTGAAGTTAGATTCAGAATTACATGTAGTTCAAACAAGTGTTTGAAGTTTGGCTTAATAGGGGAGTATCTTTTAAACTAGTCCTCTTTTTCCTGCCTTCCCCTTATAGTGGATGTCTGGTAGGTTGCGTAACCTCTCAGCAGCCTGTTGAGTCATGAGAAACGAAAGAAATTTATGACAAAATATCAAAAAGCCTTCCATCAATAGCCAAAATAATTACTGTGTTTCACTGTAGTCAGGAAAGTATTATAAGAACACGGGAGGAAGAAAATGTTGGGGTTAGAGGGAGTTTATTAAAGGAATGCAACTGCAGGAAATATACAGGGTACTTGCAAATTA